ATGCATTATTTCACTTACTAGACCGGTCCATGTCTTGCAGTCTCTAATGCAGCGTCACCAAAACCGACGACTATTTCCGGTGTTTCAGAATGAGCTGTCACTAACGGTAGAACATCCGGTTGTGCGTTTAACGTTTCAAAATAAAAGCCGAGCTAAGTACACGTCGAATAGGTGGTATTATATTTATTATCAGGGAGGTTACACCTTTTTTTAATTGTGTTCACTTAGTTACATGAAAAATATGTAATCAGGTTAATTGGAATTACTAGCAGGATTACAATATTAGTAAAAGAGCAATATAGTGATTTATATTTATCACTTTATTCTTTTAGTATTAGTAAATCTTTTTTTTCAAGATTAGTTTTTATGATTGTATAATCTGTATTATATTATTATTTTATTTTTTAATGTTCTTATTATAATTATTTTAATTGTTTATTTATTAATTAATTGCTATTTTATTTACTCTTATTTACTTTGTGAATACTTTTTTATTTGCTACTATTTAAATACTATTTTATTTAATATAATTTATTAACCTTTTTATTATTTATTTCCTTTTTTATTTCACATTATTCATTTACTATTTTATTCGCTATTATCTATTTACTATTTTATTATTATTTATTTATCGCTTTTGCGCTGCACACTCCGAAGCAGCAGTGGGCGCTGACGTCACACTATGACTGTTAAATGATCACATCACATGACACAACACGGAACCTCTCCCCTCTGGATGTCAGTCATGAGATTTTAGTGTTTCATTAGAAAGTTTGTAATGCAATGCCTAGTTTAGAAACATCTCCGAGGTGTTGCATCTGAGCGCCATGTCTGAGATCTGGACCCAGAGGATCCTCTCTTTCTCCCGCAGCCCGTCCCGGTTCCTCTCCGGGACAACAGCGGACGGTTTCCTCGCTGAGCTGCTCCGGGAGCTCCGGGATGACAGAGCCACTTACAGCCTCAAGGTAAACAAACAGTGTGATAGACGGTAACGGGTGACATGTTAAAGGTCACCTATTATGCAAAATCCACTTTTTTATGTCTCTTCTACATCAACATGTGTCCCCTCTGTGTAAAGAGACTCTGAAAGTTTCAGGAAAAAATATTCTCTCTCTTTTTGTCCTGATCCATTTATATAAAAACCTGTCTGAAAATGAGTAAAATCAGATTTTGGCCACTTTATGATGTCATAACGATTTTTTTTGGCGTGTGTAACCATTAGCCAATCAGCAACCAAGATAACCGTTTCCACAAACAACAACCAACATAATTATTACATTCAAATTAAGTACATTATTCAAGTTTACATTGGATAATAACACAGGAGAAATGAGTGGAAGCGCTCTCTTTTCCTCTCCCCCTCTGTCCCTCTCCTGACAGCCTGTCAGTATCATCTCATGCAGCTCGCTGATCCAGTAATGAGTGACCCGACAGTGAAGAATTAACATATTTATAACTAGTTTAGCTAGAGGTAGATCAAATAGCTAAGTGTGTTAGGTCTAACTCTGAGTGTGTGTTTTGCTCCGCTCACCGGTCCGTCACAGCGGGCGGAGCTACAGGATTTCTGCTCCACACACGTTGCATACCGCTATTTTACTGTCTTTTTCGGACACCTTAAAAACTGCCAGACCGGTGAAGCCATTTTGGCGAGCTTGTTTTGCTGCGCACAGAGAAAAGTGTCATGTATTTTGCGTCATCTGATCGGCTCTCCTGACCGGCCTTTTATAGAGAGCACAGATCACACTATTAAGAGTGAATCGGAGCATCCCTAGTTCTTTGTAACCAAATCTCTCTCAGAGGGGCGTGGGGAGGGGCTCCTTATTTTCATCTAAAGTAACAGACAGAGAATCAGCACTTTGGAAACAGGGCTGAAACAGAGGGGATTATGGGTAATGCTGCAATGATCTTTGGTGTTTGGAGCCAAACACTTCAGAGACATGTTCTGTATATATCTGAGACCTGTGATATATTGATGAAAAACAGTATCATAGGGGACCTTTTAAGGGATTGTGTAATCAATATACAAGAAACTAACTGTATTCCCTTACATTACATTACACATTTTTTAAATTTGATTTCACTGTTCAATATTTCATTATTATTTTGGCACTTGTGGGTTATCTGTCGCCACTTATTTATTTTTATTTTTTCAGACTATCTAAAAAACCTTTTGCTGCGAGTCGCGAAAGGTTGCCGTTACAGGCACGAACAGAGGAGACTAACCACCTCAACGGGGTTATCGCATGCGTGAAGACAGCCGTATCTTCACAAGTTTAGACCTAGTTCAGTACATAGTCTAGGCAACTCGGGGAAAAAATTCTCTAAACTGAGCTCCTTTTATCTCTCCCAACAAAGGACTGTGACCACTCAAGGACCTTGCCCTTGTATAGTTCAATCCTCCTTTCTGAATGTTTTTCACTTCAAACGATTACTACGTGGCGCGTGGAAATTTCACGGGATAACAACAGAGATATAGTCCAAGTAAAACATAACACAAGGAGATGACCCACTGTACAAGGTCACGAAATTACAAGTTCTTTCGAGAAGAGAGAGTATGACGGACACGGACGCGTCGTGAGAAAAAGCGTGGAGCAAGACTTTGGTCTCCTCGGGGTCGACTAGACTAAGACCGTCGATCCTTCTACATGGTGTGGGGCATCGGATATGTTTTTGTTGGAAACAAACCTTCGCGGAAGGTTATCTTCGACTCACAATGCATCTCTACAGTGATACAAAGACCTTCATTTGTTTCCTTAGGTTAACTCCCACAACTCCGCTGCAACCATTCTCCTCTTTGAAGGTTACCTCCCTTTGGTCCCTAACATCGGAAACGTTCTGGTAAACTGTACGTGTTTTTTTGGTTATCTTGTGTGAATGACCTGACCTTTTCCTATTGGTTTTCTTCGTCTTTATGTCTCGGAGAATTTCGTGGATTTAGGTTGGTTTTACGAACATATTGTCTTTGGTTCTTAGTCATCTTCTTTCTTTTTTAAGATTGTCGTTCGGAGTGACCACGGCGTCTCAGAGTCGTCTACTCGAGACTTGTGCCGCTCTCTGTGGCCCTTGTTACCGTTGGTGGAGCCAGCGGCACGTTCGGTTCTCGCCGGACTGACTCTCCGCACTCCTCCATGCTAAGGAGGTCCTCCCTCCTGTAGTGGCGGCGTCGAGATGTCAGCCCGGGGCAGACGTCCAGCGTGCCTCGGGTACACGCGGGCCCGCCTACTCTCTTCTGTCTTGACGTCTCAAGTAGAAATGAAAAGTAATCTAGGTCGAGGCGAGGTACGATGGCTACACAAAGAGGGTCTTCTTCCGAAACTCTACGAGCCGAGGTCGAGGGCCAAAGGACCCAGTTTGACTGTCTCCTTCAGTGGTAGTAGAAATGAGTTCATCTTCAATGTCTATAGACACAAATTTTTATGAGAACCAGTTTCATCTTCATGACTGATTTGAAGAAATGAAGTTCATTTTCATTTCTTCACACCCGAACTGGTACATGAGGTCATTTTTCCATGGGTATTGATCGTGACAAAAAATTCTCATGGACTACACAGCGAAATAAATTAATCTTCGTTATTACAGTAACAATCGATTACTTACAAAGGTACGCAACTCTGTTCTGGGCGTTGTACTGTTGACAAAGTAACCAGGGAGAAGAAATCTCTTTCTAGTCCTTTACTACTCTGTGCGCCTAGCACAAGGTTTAGTTATCCGTGCGTTACTGATGATTTATTATACTAGTGCGGTCGGCTTGTGTGTAAGTTTGATTTCCTTGGTCGGACAAAACCTTTTAAATTCTCATCTTTCATGTCCATAAACACAAGTTGTACATTCTTCCATCTTCATGTCCATAAACCCAACTTACATTCTTCATTTTTCATTTTTGTGCAGTCTTTTATTCATGACTATGGTCCTTTACCTGAAATTTGTTTTCATGTCATTGTTTTATAAACTTGAGGTGATGAAGGGTGGACCTATTTACCCGCAAGGAATGTGGTCCCACACCTCGGGCGCATCCGGACCACCTCGCCCTGCAAAGAGCGAACGGCCTCGGGTGAACCTCGAGGCAGCGACCCCTCTCCTTGGCCTCTTGTTCGGAGGGTAGAGGGCCTCCTGTTAGTGTCGACACAAGCGGCGTCTCGTTGCCGAGGCACCTCCAGTAACCTGCAGACCCTATAGACCTCCTCGTCCAGGTCCTTCAGAACCTGCGAGAACCTCGCCACAAATGCGTCCTTCCACGTCTGGTCCTGCCCTCCACTTCCCGGTCCTCCTCACCGTCGCTTCTGACCCTGGCTGACCCCTCCTGTGACCAACTTCTGCCTGTACTCGAGGTCCCGGCAGAGTGGAGTGGGTCGCTCAGCTCTCTGTGTCGTCTCTGCCCCTGAGCGTCTCGCCCTGTTGTCCTCCTGGATCCCCTCCCCCTAAGTCTCTAATTTTCCAAATAGGCAGTATACATGTCATTCATATGTCACGTCAAATACCGTTTCTTTCGGGGTGCGAGTAGGTTTTTACGTTGCGTATTCTTGTAGTTTGTGTAATTTCTCTTATGTACCATGAACACCCCACTAGACAGAGGTGAAAAATTATCGCCCATCCGACCGATTGGGATCTGGGAGAGGTGTACTTGAAAAAGTAAAGAGTTTTATTGTTTGTAATTAGATCC